CACCTGCAGCAGTCTTTTTGTAAGAATGGGGGCAATTATAAAAAATCAGTTTTTAAAATCAAATTAAAAAATTAATTAAAAGAAGGTTAAATATCCAAGTTGTTAGAGGAGAGAGCCTGAAGTATCTCCTGCAGAAGGCCTTTCATAAGAAAGAGGAATCAAAATTTTGTACTAATTAGCAATTGCCTGGAAAAAATAGGAGCCTTTGGCTTTTTTAGACCAATGATCCCCGACCTAATGTCTTCCAGTTGTTTTGGGAGTACAGCACTTGGAATAGCGAACCAGTATATTCATGTTGGTTTGGAATTCAGGAAATTGTAGCCTAGACCCATCTGGATGGCATCAGTTGCAGGAAGGCTGGTTTAGCTACTTTTGGAGGTTGATCAATAATGCCTTCATCACTGTTCTTTAATACAAATGACAGCTTGCATGCATATTGTTCAAGATTTATCCCCCCCAAAAGAGAGAGAGAGAATCTTAGTCAGAGGCTGTCTATCAATAATGCACCATATAGATAAACTGTGACTTGTGGAAGTAAATATTGCAGGAAGTTAACCAAGAATAATATTACATTGATAAATGTATTGCAAATAATATGAATGACACCAGTAGTCTCAGTTCACAGCAGAACACTACATGAACCCATGCTATAGAGTCATAGGGCAGTTCTAAAATCTCAAATAGCTACTACATTTGGTGGAATGTAAAATGACTTAAATTATCCAGTTTTGTTCTAACGGTTGATGTCAAATACAGGATGATGTTATTTAATTATACCGTTTTATGCTCAGGGTGTCAGACAGAGGATTCTAAAAAGTACAATTCACAGCAGTGTGTATCCACTCTGGGAGTTTTCCACATCTAGTTATATGCTTTCCCTATGACTATGGTCAGTTTTCTGTGACAGGCACCTGTCATTTTTAGCCACCTCTTTAAATGTAATTAAATGTTACCTTTTAACCTCAACTGTTACCAGCCAAACCAGGTATTTTACATTAGGAATGAGAACCTGTGGCTCTCCTAATGTGGCTGAACTGCAATTCTTAGCATCCTTCACCATTGGCTTGGAAAAACTTTGGGGTTTATATGCATCCTAGAGAGCCATAGGCTGTCCACCCTTCCATTATAGGGGTGTATCTAAAGGAACCACCTTTCAGAATCTTGGTGATTAATTTAATGAACACAAAATAAAGATTTAATGACTTCACTTTTATGATATCTTTCTCTACTTTGCATTCCTTCCCTGTATCCCTTAGTTGCTGATGGAAACAGTAGACTCTGACATCCGAAGCTGCCCTCTCTGCCAGGTGGCCTTTCCCATCGGTTATCCAGATGATGCTTTGATAAAACACATTGATTCACACCTGGAGAACAGTAAGATCTGAGGTCTGTTCCACCGTCCTTCCTCTTCTGGCTTCCTTAAAGAGATTTGCCCACCTCATCCCCACCCCACCTTTCTTGGATGCTGCATGAAAAGTGGAGGCACAACAGGGGCTCTTTCTCTCTAAAATACCTCCAAGTCTCCGTTAGACTGAAGCGTGAACATTTTTGCCTCTCCCTTGTCTTCTTTGCCTTTGTTTTTAAAGTGGGTTGCCTCACCTTACTGCTCTTTATGGGCAGGACCTGCAATATTTCTCCAGTGCTTCAACCAGCTGCAAAGGTGGGGAAAGGAATGAGAAATATGCTGGAATTAGGCTTAGCAGGGCACAGTTACCTTCACCATCTGATTGCTCAGAACGGAGGCTGCTTCTGGTGATGGTGAGACTCTACATGGTTCAGTTTTGATGTCTCTGGAAGATCTCAGGGTAGGATGGGTGAGAAATAACCCAAGTTTGCGTGTTTTGGGGTGGGGTAGGAGAACAGACTAATGAACTCCAACCCACTGAAGGCACAACACATCACAAAGGTTTTGTTTGTGCCTGTTTTACACAGGGATATCCAAGTGGGTCAGATTTCTCTGCCTCTTCAGCTACTACAAAGGGTATTTGGGGTTGGTCATTTAACAGATGTAAAAGCCTTGGCCTCCAATTGCTGGTTCAAGTGTCTTTGTGTTGGTCTTTTACATTAAAAGTCCACTTTTAGCAATGTTGCTGAGAAATAGAGCCAACTTCCAAAAGTGTAGCATGGACATTCTTATGTTATTGCACTGAACAATAAGCTTTTTTCCACAAGAGAAACTCCTCTTTTCCTCTGTGTTGGCCTCTTGTGAGTCGTTCTGGAGGAGTTACACACTGCACACTTAGGTAGAAGCCCAGAAAGCATTCCCATAGGACAGTCTGTGTTCTCTTTTGGCGACTGTTTTACACATTTTTCATAACCACTTCACATCTTGCTTTAGATAGCTCCTGTATAATAAGAACTGTACCTGCCACATTTTGCCTCATTATTCTCCTGCATTGACAGCATGTTGACACTATTTGGGGTAACAGTGTAAATGTAACCATCTTCCCATATCTGACACCGCTGTATTTCTTTCATTCTCTCTCTCTCTGGCCTTACTGAACATATATTTTGTTATACTGATCTAAAATAAGGGGCATGTTCCGATTGGTCTCTCGCTTCCAGATGTATGGTGCCTCTGTATTGTGAGGATTATCTCCTTGAAACAGCCTGTCTGTACATCAGGCTTTAGTTTAAAAAAAAAAGTGGGGAGGGGGAGAGCAGTTGCATGGATTTTTTTTTTTCTTCTTGAGGCAACTGTCTTCCTATCTCCAGGTTCTTTATTAACAAATGTATGTGTTGGGATTTACAGCCTGCCTTACCCCAAGGTCTCAGGATGTCCAGTGGGCAATAGGCATGGGTCCTTGGGGCTCAGTCTTTTTTTTTTTTTTGCAAACAAAGAATTTGAATTTTAGAAGTGAATCACAGAATAGAAACTTATTTCAATTGTGGTTTCTTTGTCTCCATCTTCTTGGCCACAAAACCAGTTGGAGTCCCCTTAGTGTTTCTAAGGCTGAAAGCAACCTCCCCCAACCAGGTACCGCCATATGTGCTGAATTTCATCCTGATCATCCTAATGCCCATGATGCTGAGGCATGATTAATCTAGTGCATCTGAGGGAGACACTGGTTTGAGGGGGACTGATAATAATCTAACACTTTCCTCCTTCCCATCTTTTTCTGGTCAAGATTGTAAATCACCCCCCACACACACACACCCTTCTCCTTAATCAGGCTTTCACTCTCTGTTCCCTGTGTGTCAACATTATGCCCATCCTTTATTTAAATTCTTCCCATGCTGAGGGTGAAACTAAACAGCAGGTCTTCAAACCTTCCCTGCTGTGAAACCAGTCAAACAAGAGAATGGCAGGGATTAGAGAAAAAAGTAGCTGGCAGCAGAAAAGGTGCTGAACTCCTGCAACTTCAGTCACCATGCTTTCCTGGGTATTTTTAATCTAACCAGGCTTATTTCAGCCTCAGAGGCCATAGAAATACAATTGTGAAGAGGAACACAGCCTTTTAGCAGTGGAAATAGGCCAGAAATTGTATGAAAAGTTAAGCGGTCTCAGCATTTATGTACACACACAGAAGCTTCCAATACTTGCATCAGGTTTAAACTAATTTTGTTCAAGATCCAAACCCAATTTTAGAAAAGTAATTTGGCAAGGATTTTGCATATATAAAAGGAAACCTCTTGGTATGTCTGGCAGCAGAAAACTGAAGGACTGAATGGTTGCTATGACTCTTTTCATATTGCCATATTGGTCCTTACTTGGAGCTGATCTTCTTTGATTTGATTAAGCTGCACACCAAGTGAAAAAGAAAAAAAGAACCAAATGAAATCCCTTGAAAATGTAGTATTCTGGGCCAGTATTTAAGTTGGACATGCTTCTGTCCCTGTGTCTCAGGACAATTACAGGGCTAGAACAAGCTGCGGGGAGGCTCTCAAAATGTTGACACCCATATTACCCCATCATGCAGGAATAGAAAATAGATTCAGTGATGGAGTTCTTTGTCTCTTGCAAGCTTAAGTTCCTGGCCTGTTCCACCATCCCTTCTTCCTGCCTGCTCCAAAAGGAAGATTCACATATTAGCTAGGAAAAACATCTCACTGGACTGGAGGCTAAGCTCTTGGACAGTGATTTTGGTTTGGCCCTTTTCTGCCCTCAGTGCCCTCCAAATCTGGCCGAACTTTATTCCTGTTCTAGCTAGCAAGTAGCTTTGGGGTGCAGAAAATACCCTGTATTAGCAGCTAACTAGTCAACCAGCACTTGCACAAAATCAGCTGAGATTGGGAAGTAGAATTTTAGCTGCTGTGCAACAATAGGAAATGAGGGTTTTGTTTTTCTTTGCTTCCCCCCTCTCATTTGTGTGCCTGTGATCAGGAGAAATGCACAAGTGAGCCCATGTCTTCTGACCTTCGTTTTGGGATTGGGGAGGTTGAGTCCCACCATGCTCCCCACCTCCCTGTGAAACCTGGAAGTGTTTTGCAAACTGCATTTCATAGTATGATAGATTTGGAAGGGACCTTAGTGATCATCTAGTGTGACCCCCCTGCTCAGGGCTGGATCCACTAGAACAGGGTTCCTCAACCTTGGCAACTTTTAAGAAGGGTGGACTTCAACTCCCAGAATTTCCCAGCCAGCAAGGCTGGCTGGGGAATTCTGGGAGTTGAAGTCCACCCGTCTTAAAGTTGCCAAGGTTGAGGAACCCTGCACTAGAACATCAGACAAATGACATCCAGTCTGTGTTTGATGAACTCAGTACCTCACTTGCTGCTCTGTTCCAATGGCTAACAACCTATATAGTCAGGAAGTTCTTCCTGATGTGTAGCCTGAACCTATTTATTTGTAGTTTTAACCCACTGGTTCTAGTCTTGCCCTCTGGAACAATAAAAAATCATTCCACTCCTTTTAAGTGACAACCCTTCAGATATTTGAGACTGCTTCCTATCCCTTAAGTCATCTCTTCTCCAGGATAAACCTGATAAACATACCCAATCTTTAATGATTCCTCATAGAGCTTGCTGAGGTGCCATGGAGGAAATTCACCTTGTAAATCCAGTATTGTGTGGTGTGGTAGGACTCATAGATGGACGTTATGGATTTATTTTCCTGGGGCTTGCATAGGAGAACCTCCTGTTGTGTCCACTTTGTCTCTCTCCCAGCCTACCACCTTTTAATGGGGACCCATTCCAGCCTTGAAGCTTTAACTTTTCCTCATGATAGACCTGTTTCTGCTCAAGCCCCCCTTGATCACATATGTTTGTTATAAAACATGGCTGCTATACCTGTCATAGCTGCCATACATAATCATCCACTTTAAATTTTTCCTGGTGTGCTATAGCTCAGTACAAGGGCTGAACAGATTTCCCAAATCTCTGCAAATGTTCCAAGAAAACAAAAGAAGCCCTCCTGGTGAATACAGTGAGGGTCTGCACACGTGTTCAAATCATCAGATGAAGCAATTCAAAGAGGCCTTCCGTTGGTAGTGATATTCTCTATCACATAAATCCTGAAATTATCTATAGAAAGTTTTCATCTACATATGTCACATGATTTCTCTAACTATTTGGATTTTTTTTTTAAATAAGAAGAGAGCCACGTAAGTGGAACAAGTTTGAAAATGTATCTTGCAACTTGTCGCCTCTCTTCCATTTTGCTACATGAAATCTACCTCAGAGTTTATGAGAAGCAGGAATGATTACAAGCAAAAAAAAAAAAAAAAAATCAACCAACCAACCAACCAACCAACCAAGAATGGGGGTGGGGGGTGGGTGGGTCTTGAATTATGGGAGTGTTTTTATAATTTCATTTTTTAAAAAATCTGTAATCTACTAAGGGCTCAAATAGCATTCAGATTGTTCCCCTTGCCCTGAAGCTTCATGATCTTTTTTAAAAATCTCAAGGAGCAGTCAGCAATGTTAGGGAAGAGAGAGAAGCCATGACCATGGAGATGTAAACATAGTTCCCCACCAAGATTCCTCACACTTGTTTCAGCTAGTGTAAAATGGTGGCTATGCAACTGACCTGTAATGCACAAAATCCCTAGTTTAAATTTTATATTTGCTATGAAAACGTTATATAGCTTAGACAAGCTCAATGAATATCCATTCTCATGGTGTTAGTGGACATTTTTCCTAAATCCCTTGGAAAAAAAGTCTCACAGCTATAATCACGGGACTGAGAGAGTGAAAATATTCCTTCTTTGTTAGGCACAATTAGTCTTGGCTCTTTTTAATGCTTTTTCAGTGTATATATCCAACATAAAATCTATGGAATCAACAATAAGTTAGGCTCTACATACAATTTAAAGTTAGTTGGGAAATGGTTTCCACATACCCACAGCTGTACACTCTGGAGTATTTTACTCTGATACACAAAACAAATGACTGATTCTGTTCTGACACCAGCTGGAAGTTAAAACTATCTGTAATTGTTAGGTTGATTGATGGCTGTTAGCTGTAATACCTAAGTGAAATGGTTTTGGAGGCAGTATGCTACTGAATACCAGTTTCTGGTACAGGGAGCTGTTGTCATCACGTCCTGCTAAAAAGTTTCTCAAAAACCTCAGATGATCCACTCAGTTAAGAGAATGCTGGATAAATATAATTTTTATTCTGAAGCAGCAGGCCAGCTCTCATGTTCCTAAACTAATGGCATGAGACACTAACATATTAATATACTGGCTGAGTTTACATCTCATGCTAAATTATAGTGTGGTTTGTTTGCTTTTGGATAAGGGCAATGTGTGAACCTGCCAATCGTGGTTTAGTATTATTTGTGAACCAGGCTATATCTTATTCAACAAGTCATCATTAAAAATATCTTGGTTTGGCATCATAGGCAAACTCAGCCATGATGTTAATCCTTAACCTTCTTCTTGTCAGTCAGCATGGTAAGTATGAGACAGCTTATTTCACTCTCTTACAATGCATGTTTCAAATAGTTTTCTTTAAGCTCCCTGTTGATGTCTTCATTTTTTATTAACTAACTCAGAGGATTTCCACAAACATTAACGTAGATTAGAGTCTCCATTCCAATGTATTTTCGGAAGATCAGAACGATCCAGCATTTGCCATTTATACTGCTGCTTATGCAACAAATAAAGGAGAGATATATTAAGAATCCATGTTAAGTGCTCTTGTGAACCATTATAATTTTTCACTACAACCTCTCTTCTGATTAGTATTTTTTTTTCTTAACTATTTAATATTGGCTTGAATCATTTGCATCAGCCAAATTTCCTTACTTTCGGGAGGCAAAATGCTCCTAAAGATAATACTCATCTTCAGCTGATGAATTTAAAGAGTTGTCAAGTTTGATCTATAGGATGCATCCATTGGGAGCAGTAATGCTGTTGTTTAAACTAGTGCAAAGAAAAACCCAGTAATGTTGGTCATATAATTAAAAGGTTATGGTCTTCTGAAAATTCTTTAAATTCACTCAGCCTCATGAAAGTCATCCCTCCAGTTTTGCAAAGAGTTTCTCAAAAACACAGGGGAAGATATTTGGGACACTTTGAAAATAGACTTTTTTTTTTTTTTAATTATTCATTTCTCAGAAACTCAGCTAACCCTCTTCTCTCTAGCTTGCTTAACCCAAATATAAAGAAGCAAGGAGGACCTTTTTTAGCACTTTGAGTAAAATATTTGGGAGAGAGATGATGTGTCTGTGTTGTCCCTTTCTTTCTGTACTCTGTGAAACAGAATAACTCAAATAAAAGTTGCCAACTAATAGATTTTATCAATCATGGCTTGGTTTTTTTGGCCAATGGCATTTGTTTTTGTTGGTAATGCTTGGAAAAGTCACACTTCACTAAAGAACACTTCATTCAACTAGGAAACCTATCTACAGAACCCAGGACTCAAACAGCTGTTTTGGCCTTTCTGTTTACCTGGGCCCTGGTCTTAATAATTATTAACAGTAAGTGCACACAATAGCCCAGAGCAGGGGTTATGACCTGTGGGTTGTAATCATAAGTGTTCACAAGCAAATTTGAAAGGGAGTGCAAATTTGGGGGGCTTTTACATGTAAACTGGAAACAGTCTCAGAATTTGCTGCCATTGTGCCTAGACAAGCTGGCTGTCAGATTGTCCAAACCAAATGGAGAAGAAAGCCGGAACATGTTATGATAGTCAGTGCATCCAGACAGAGTGTGAGCGGGTTCTGAGAGGGCTCCAGATTTCAGTTCCTCCTGAAGTACGTTCAAAGTCCTGGAATAGTGAAGTCAAAGTCCAGTTCTCAGCTTCAAAAAAATGTGGCAGGATCTGAAACAAACCATTCTTGCTGGAAAACCCTAAATGTTACTAGGCTGAGTGTCCAAGTAGAATCTGCCAGAATTGATCTGTTTCTTACATCAATTCTGGCAGATTCTACTTTGCAGGAAGTGTTTGGTTGCAGTTATTGCAGCCAGCGATGGACCAACTGGTTGCTGAATTTGAGTGAGCAATTACTTTTTCATACTGCATGGTATGTTGAATGTTCATGCAGTAAATGAGACCAGCACCAAACATGGATTTTGTTTGTTTACTCAGATTCCCTTTATGTATCAGCAAGACCTGTATGAAGCTCAGATATCATCTAGAGCAGTGTTTCTTAAGGTGTAATCCAAGGACCCCTGGGGGTCCCCCAAGAACCTCTCGGGTCTGCGAAATCAAAATTATTTGCCAGCCTATGTTGAAAAATGATACAATATTAAAATCCCATCAAACAATCATGAGAAGCGGTAGTGGCAGCGGCAGTGGCGGAGGAACAAAGGAGCTCTGCCTGGATCTACACACGTGGCAGCGGGGGCGGATTTGTGAGCTGGCTGCAGACAGCAGCATCTCAGCATCAGGAGCATGGAATGGTGTGGAACAGTGCAGTGGGCTGGAGGTGGAGCCTGGTGGAGCTGTGGATGAGCTGTTTTTGGTGCAGCTGACTGGCAGTGCTTAGCCTGCCCCTGAAGGTGCAGCAGTGCAGCAAGGCAGAGGCCGAGTGGACTGCGGCCTATTTTCCGTCCTCCATTTCACGGCTCCTTCTGCAAATAGGATGTCAGTTGGCTGGGCCAGCTGTCTGTGGTGGGATGGCTGTGGCTACAGCCCTGGGAGTAGGAGTCCTGGCTGACTGGAGGATTTGGATGTCCATGTGTATGGCAGAAGCAGGAGTGGGTAGTAGTGCGGTGGGAGAACCAACCTGCATCCTGTGGCTGCCAACTGACCATCCACATGGTCCAGCAGCTAACGTGGTAGCTTCTTCCCTCTTTGTGGGACTCGGGACTTGGAGGGACTGTTTTGATTTGTTCATGTGGCTGACAGTCTGAAGGAAAGACCTGGAATTGGCAAGGATATTTTGGGTTTTGGACTGTTTTATTGGAGTAGGGCCAACAAAATGAAATGTGTCAACATTTTGAAGATCTACACAGCTCATCAACCAATATTTTCCAGTTAATCAAACCATGATATTACAAAATCATGGGTAAAAGATCCATTTAAAGTGCAAGGCAGACCACTAGGTTTTAACGTACCCAAATATGAAAAGTTCATTGATATCAGATTTCACATTACAACTAACCTTTGAGAAACTACGACTTGTCAAGTTTTGGTG